GATCCCTGGCCTTGGGTTGGATTTCGTTGAAATCCAAGGCTGCCAGAAACAGCTCTTCCCTTATTAAACCCTATATAAAAAATCAGGTTTTTCAAGTTTTCAAAGGCTACCCCTTTGCAGGGCCCGGCCCCCCCAAATAGCGGGAAACCCCCCCGATTAAGAAGGTCCGCCCCCGGACCCAAGATTTCAAAGCCCTCTGCCTTTCCCTTAAAGCCCAAAGCTTTGAGATATAAGTGTCAGAGATCCCTGGTCGCAGGATCATCAGACTAATTATGTTCAGGAGCAGAGATACAGGAGTTCTCTTATCGTAAGATATTGAGAAGCAGCAGAGATATGGTATTCCTCTTGTCGTCAGATTATGGGAGCAGAGATATAGAGATATAGGAGTTAGAATATCGTGAGATATTGAGAGAAGGAGGAGATATTTATCATTAATAAGGAGCAGAGATATGGTATTCCTATTGTCGTGAGATTATGGGAGCAGAGATATAGAGATATAATTAGGAGTTAGAATATCATGAGATATTGAGAGAAGGAGGAGATATTTATCATTAATAAGGAGCAGAGATATGGTATTCCTATTGTCGTGAGATTATGGGAGCAGAGATATAGAGATATAGGAGTTAGAATATCATGAGGTATTGAGAGAAGGAGGAGATATTTATCATTAATTACAAATGTTTCGACAACATGCCCATGCGACACTTGTGCTGTCCCCATGCTGGCCTTGCTCATGCTCTCAGCAGAACTCAGCTCGTCCCAATCAAACCATGAGTTTGATCGCTTGCTGAGCTCATTCTCTTCGGCAGCATCGAGCTCATCCCAATCGAAAAATGCACTGCTTTTGCTCTGCTCATGCTGTCGCATGAGTCGTCGCTCCTTTTTCGCATGCATTTTGATTGCCTTTCTCATGATGCTGCGAATCGCATGGTACTGCGAATGCCTTGTCAATTGCATGCTGAGAATGCTCTCATGCAGCCTTTCGAGCAAGGCCTCATCTCGAATGGGGGGGCATGGCCTCACTGCATGCTGCTTTCTTTTCTCTCCCTCCCACATGCTTCTTCACTTCTCTCATGCTCTTGCTGCGGCTGATGCTCTTGTGATGCTCATGCGGGTAAACATGCTGAGCCATCCCACCCTTCTCGCACTCATCGGACCATGAGAACCTCCCCATGAAAGCGAAATCATGAAGGTCCCAAGGCTCATTCATGGCACTCCAAGTCTTCTCCAACTCATCCCAGTCGAAGAACATGTCGTTGGAGACACTCATCTCATCTTGGTCCTCATCTGGTTCGGACAGGATGGCGAACCTGTTATGGCATCTCACCTTCTCAGGAATACCCATGGTCCACACCTTGGCTGGATGCAAACTCACTAGAAAATCTATCTCATGACAAAACAACAAAATCACACCTCATGCATGTCGCGGCGCTCATGCCTCTGATGCTCATAGCTCATCGAGAGCACGGTCCCAGGTTTAGGGTTTTAGGGTTTAGGGTGTAGTTCAGGGGGTGTAAGGTTTAGGGTTTTAGGGCTTAAGGGTTTAGGGTTTAGTTAAGGGGGTGTAAGGTTTAGGATTTTAGGGTTTAGTTAAGGGGGTGTAAGGATCAGGGTTGTTTAGTTACGGGGGTTTAAGGTGTTGGGTTTCCGGGTTTGGGGTTTAGGTAAAAGGGTTTAAGGTGTTGGGTTTCAGGGT